TATTTTCAGGCTCTTGACAAAACTCCTTAATTAAGAAAAATTTTAAAAAAGAGCCAACTCCCCTTTGAAAGACTGTACATAGGAAGTTCTGGGGGATTCTTGTTTGTAACCATGCCTTGGAACTGGTCCTCACCTTGGGATGCCTGGTCAGGAGCAGGGAGACTGTAGCAGTAAAATCCTGTCCTTCAGGGATGGAATAACATTTCAAATCATGAAGCTGTCAGATATATTTCCAAGAAACATCCATCTGATGACTCAGTTCAGGACTATTTTGAGATGTTCATATGTGAGTATCAAAAGTCAAGAAAATGTTCATAATCTAGCTACCTGGGACAGTCCCTTCCATGAAGGCAGGACAGCCCCGACTGAGAGCTAGAGATGAAAGCAAGTTCCATCAGATAGGTTTGATGAAGCCGAAGAGCCCAGAACACTGTCTGTGGTACCCCCTCGGGCCCACACCAGTGATACATTTCCATCCTCCACACCAGTGATGCATTTCCATTCTCCAGTCAACATGCTTGTGCTTGTGGCTTCTGTAGGCGACCCAGAACTTTCAGGAAGTGGGCATGGCTGAGGTGACAAAGGAGTGACAGAAGGGGGCAGGACATCAACTGTCTAAAAAGAGGGAATTCTTGGCCTATAGGATGGGAAAGACATCAAGGTATAAGCATGTTCAGAACCGAGTAAGTAAAAGAGCGGAGGAAACAGGTGATAATTTATAAGGTGGGAGGTGGCCACAGAAATTCCCTCAAGAAAAGTGCCACCAGGGACAAAACAAAAGGGGAAACACGGGTGAACGTCTTGATACAGGAGACATGCAGCCCAATGGTGAGCTCTAAACCGTTATCCCTCTAAGCAAATCTCAAAACGACGTCTTTTTTGCTAACTGTTCCAAGATAGCCTCATTTTGCAGGCTTCACTTTCTGGAGCTGCTGTAAAGTTACTGTTATTACTAGTATTTAATTTTAGTCCCTTTAGTCCCTTTAGTCTTAGAAGCCTTTTTAAAAAATCAAAAGAAGGGGTTGCATGAACAGGAAAAGAAAATATTTTCAGGTTCATGACCAAACTCTTTTTTTTTTTTAAGATTTGTTTATTTATTATGTATACAATGTTCTGTTTGCATGTATCCCTGCAGGTCAGAAGAGGGAGCCAGATCTCATTACAGATAGTTGTGAGCCACCATATGGGTGTTGGGTATTGAACTCAGGACCTCTGGAAGAACAGCCTGTGTTCTTAAACTCTGAGCCATCTCTCGAGCCCCATGACCAAACTCTTTAATTAAGAAAAATAAAAAAAAAGCCAAATCCCCTTTAAAAGACTATACATAGGGAGCTCTAGGGAATTCTTGTTTGTAACCATGCCTCGGAACTGGTCCTCACCTTGGGACGCCTGGTCAGGAGCAGGGAGACTGTGTTAATAGATGTTCTCCACAAAATGCAAGAACGCTTACAATATTTCAGTTTGGGAGCTGGAGAGATGCTTTACAGGAAAGAGCAACTACTACTGTTGCTGAGGAGCTAAGTTCCCAGCACCCACATCAGGGGCTCACAAACACCTGTAACTCTAGCTCCACAGGATCCGACTCTGGCTTCTGGTTTCTGCAAGGGCACCCACACACTGTGCATGCACATGCATACACATCTGTGCATGCTCTGGCACACACACACACACACCCCACACACACATGCACAAATCATTTTAAAAGAAGCTAACTTGTGGATTCTTGCTTATTATTTATTTTTTAATTTTAATTTTTAAGGTGGGACCTTATATATCTCATGTTGGTCTTTATGAAACTCAGGGTTTTTTGAATGCTAGGCAAGCACTCTACCAACCAAGTACATCCTCAACCCCAAATTTTTGTGTTCTCCAGCCCCCAAAGTTAGCTTCTTATTAGGATGTCTTCCCCTACCATCCTCTGCTTTGATTCTATCCCATTCTGTTTTAATTAATGAATAAATTAATTTATTTATTTTGGAGACAGGGTTTCTCTGTGAAACAACTCTTTGTAGCTGCCTCTGCCTCCCAAGTCCTGGGATTAAATGTGTGCACCACCACCGCTCCTTCTGCTTCGATTCTAATGGTCAATGTCAGTCAGCCCAACAGAAAAAAAATACTTCTAGTGTGGAGGAAAGCAATCCATCCAGTCTCATAAGCTAACATATGCAACCTCTTTTGTTGAAGTCCTGAGCTAGCCAAACAACCTTTGAAATTGTATTTAGGAACACTGGGTTGATCTATTCCAGCAAGAGGAAATAAATACACACTATAAATAACCTGTTGCTATTTCTCGTGCACAGGTTGTCTTTTGTGGTGAATTAATAGATAGTTGTTTGATCTGAAAAGCAGCTGTGGCAGGGTTATTATGAGTCAGTTCTTTCTATACAGTGCCACCCGAAGGACTTCCTGGGACAATGCCTTGTTCAGTGCGGCCAGGAAAACTGAAGATGTGGTTCCTAATGCTATTTACTTGTAATTAATTCAGCTAGCTACATGTGCTGACTCATGGTTACCTATTTGAATGACACGCTTCTAGCCCCTTGTGACTCAACACATGGTCTGTGGCTCTGCAGCATTAATATCACCATGTTAGAAACACAGACTACTGGGCTCCTCTCTGGACTAGTGATTCAGAATCTCACTGTTGGCAAGCTTCCTCAGTGGTTTGTGTGCATATTTAAGAATATTAAGTGCAGTCAAGATCAAAAGAGCCTGAGGACACCTGTCCAAATTATAGATACCAACTCTTAAAACTGGCACCCAGCACAAAGGGCCTTTTTTCCCCCTGCTACTCCTGTCTGCCTTTCAAAAGAGGAGAGGGATAGGAGGAGAGAGCCTGGAAAGGCGGGGTCTAAAGGAAGAATGGGGAGGTCCAAGCAAGGTAGGAGGATGTACTTTTTCCAGGGATATTTGCATAAAACACAATGATAGTATTTCCTTGTCATTTATTGATCAAGGATAGTGGACATACAGGAGTTCATTGCATGCTTTTTGTATGTTTGAGACTTTTCAAAGTCAAAAAATAGATGTGATTTCAGAGATAACGTGTGTGAAAACAGCTTCAGGATGGCCCCCAGCCATCCTCTTCTACTGGACTTCATGCCTTCGTGTGGTCTCTTTCCGTCAGGATCTGTCTATGTGACCAAAGTGGAGATGACAGCAACCCTTTAAAGAGCTGGGTCATCGTGACTTCTGTCTGCACGGTTTTGGACCTCTTGCCCTGAGGGAAGCTGTCCTGTTGGGGCACTTAAGCAGTCTTGAGACCTGACCTTCCGGAGAGTCACTGAGTTCTTGCCAACAGCCAACCATCTGAGGGATCCATGGGACTTTCTGTGAAAGCTGACCCTCTGGTCCTGGTCAAGTTTTCTGATGACCAGCTTCCATGTGGCATGTACCTGCAACTGAGAAACCGCTAGGCCAGGACTGACTAGCATGCTTCTCAGAAACTCTGTTTCAGCAATTGGTTTCATGATTTCTCCTTCCCTCTTCTCTAAAAAGGACCCCCATCTTCCCTGACTTTTCACCCATACCTGGAATAAATAGGGAAGGAAAAAAAAATCCTTTCAGATCGTGCGTAAGGTTAACATGCTTATATCCCTTGAAGAGATAATACAGTCACTTAAATTCACAGTAAAACCTATGGGACAGATATACGTTCGAGACAGGGTTTCTCTGTGCAGTTTTGGTGCCTGTCCTGGAGCTCGCTCTGTAGACCAGGCTGGCCTCGAACTCACAGAGATCCACCTTCTGCTTCCGGGAGTGCTGGGATTAAAGGCATGCGCCGCCGCCGCCTGGTTACATTCTTTCTTTTTAAAACTCGTAGCAAGCTAATGTGTTGAGACATTAATTTCAGGCTTGGTCTTGCTACTGCAAACGACTAGAAAGAAAAATTTGGTAATTTCTCCCTTGGTGACCACTATCTCAGGAATGGTCTTAGTTCGTCCTACACCCCGCCCCAATCATCAGTGTCATACACTGATTAACAGCTTGTGTTTGGGGTCCGGGTTACCCTACAGAAAACACCTCAAACGCCCCACCACTGGCCTTCATTTTTGGGAATTAGGTTAATGGGGAAACTACGGGACTCACCCCGCCATCAGAAAATACAGGTCCTACTTTGGGAAGAAGACAAAGGAGAGAGCTGCATAGGATGGGCAATGGGGCGAGCACCATGGGTTGTCTGCGGAAGGACACACCTCCCAATGACACTCAGGCTTGCAGGCTCTGCAGCGGTGCTCTCCAGTGGTTCTCCAAGGTGTACGGACTAGTGGCATCAAGAATTGGTGGGGGAAAGCAGAATAAAGCTCTTCCCCCAAATTTTGGGGACTTCACAGCTCCATAGAGAAAGCAGGAGGAACATCAAAAAATGTGACTAATGAATTTCCCGCCAACACTGAAGAGCGGGAGTCGAGCCAGACTTCTTTAATTAGGAAAATTAAAAGACGTGTGACGCTCCTTGCCCCGGCGTCAATTCCCTGGCTCCAGCGAACTCACTCCTGGTAGGCTTACTTCTCCTGACAGTGGGTTTGAGCAGGAAGAGAGGCACTGGGGCTTGAGCAGGATGGAGAAAGGGGAGCCAGGGGGGAGAGGCGCTGAAGGAGCCCCTGGCGCTCGCTTGGGGCCCCGCGCGCAGGTTCGCCGAGGAAGTGACCCCTGACTCGAGCCGGCGGCCCGCGTGTCCGCCGGGGGAGCCGGAGCCAAACACACGCACGTGCGCCCCGCCCCCGCCGCGCGCACGCGCCCCGAGGCTCCGGCGGCGGCGACGGGCGCGCGCGCGGTGCTCGCTGCCCCCACGCTGCTCCCTCGGCTGGGATCGCGGCGTCTCCCGCTCGCCGCACTGCTCCACGCCTGGCCCGTGGGTCCGGAGGCGGCAGTCGTGCGTGGGCTCGGGCGGACGGGCGCGGCGGTCGAGGCGAGGCGGCGGCGGCGGCGGCGGCGGCGCGGGTGGACAGCGCGGAACCCGGCAAGTTCCTCGCAGGCGATGTCGCCGGGCGCGGGCCCCTGCGTACGCCGGGCGCCGTGACAGGCCGGCCGGGGAGGCGCGGACGGGGGAGGCCGCGACGGAGCTCCCGGACTGGCCATGGGCTGAGACGCATCCTCGCAGAGCAGGTGCGGTGACCGGAGGTTCTGGGGAGGGAGCCCGCGCCACAGGCCCCGGAAACCTGCGGCCCTTCCTAGCCCGGTACCCTGTTGACCTTCCCCTCGACTCCTCGGGGAAAGGCCCTGATGACCCCGCCTCCAAACCTCGAGTGTGCAATCCCTGTGACACCCCACCACTACCGCCGCAGGTGACACGCTGTGCATACCCTCACTTTATACCCGCGACCCCAACCCACCGGGGCTTTGCACCAATGCCTCTAATGCCCTAGGATTTTGAGCCCACAGTCTGCCTGCACTGAGCCTGGGAACTACCCGAGATCGCTTCCTCTTTCTACTCGACCAAAGGGGTGGGAGCAGGGGTGGGAGGGGAAAGTGGGAGTGGTGGTCCATCCTTCTGAGTCCTTGGTGACTACAAACCCATGCTCTTTCTCTCAAGCCTGTAGTGAAAGTGACCCTTCCATACTCCACCAGAACATGCCGGGGTGACTCCCTCCCAGATCGTCCTGTGGCCTTCCTCGCTCTCCCCAGTGACACTATGCAACCCCAGCGTGACCTGCGAGGCCTCTGGCTCCTGCTGCTCTCCTTGTTCCTGCTTCTCTTTGAGGTAGCCAAGGCCGGCCGAGCTGTGGTTAGCTGTCCCGCCAACTGCCTGTGCGCCAGCAACATCCTCAGCTGCTCCAAGCAGCAGCTGCCCAATGTGCCCCAGTCTTTACCCAGCTACACAGCACTTCTGGACCTCAGCCACAACAACTTGAGCCGGCTCCGGGCGGAGTGGACCCCCACCCGTCTGATTAATCTGCACTCCCTACTGCTGAGCCATAACCACCTGAACTTCATCTCCTCCGAGGCCTTTGTCCCAGTACCCAACCTGCGGTACCTGGACCTCTCCTCCAACCATCTTCACACGCTGGATGAGTTCCTGTTCAGCGATCTGCAGGCACTGGAAGTGCTTCTGCTCTACAATAACCACATCGTGGTGGTGGACCGCTATGCCTTCGAGGACATGGCCCAGCTGCAGAAACTCTACTTGAGCCAGAATCAGATCTCTCGCTTCCCTCTGGAACTGATCAAGGATGGCCACAAATTACCCAAACTTATGCTCTTGGATCTGTCGTCCAACAAGCTGAAGAAGTTGCCGCTGACCGACCTGCAGAAATTGCCAGCATGGGTCAAGAACGGGCTGTACCTGCACAACAACCCCCTGGAATGTGACTGCAAGCTCTACCAGCTCTTTTCGCACTGGCAGTACCGGCAGCTGAGTTCCGTGATGGACTTCCAGGAGGATCTCTACTGCGTGCATTCCAAGAAGCTGCACAACGTCTTCAATCTGGATTTCTTCAATTGCAGCGAGTACAAGGAAAGTGCCTGGGAGGCTCACCTGGGAGATACCTTGACCATCACGTGTGATACCAAACAGCAAGGGATGACCAAAGTGTGGGTGACACCGAGCAATGAACAGGTGCTAAATCAGGGGGCCAATGGCACAGTGACTGTGTCCAAGGATGGCAGTCTTCATTTTAAAAAGGTGCAGGTGGAGGATGGGGGTGTGTATACCTGCTACGCCATGGGGGAGACTTTCAATGAGACACTGTCTGTGGAGTTGAAAGTGTACAACTTCACCTTGCACGGACACCATGACACCCTGAACACAGCCTATACCACCCTGGTAGGCTGTATCCTCAGTGTGGTCCTGGTCCTCATATACTTGTACCTCACCCCTTGCCGCTGCTGGTGTCGGGGTGTGGAGAAGCCTTCCAGCCATCAAGGGGATAGCCTCAGCTCTTCCATGCTCAGTACCACACCCAACCATGATCCGATGGCTGGTGGGGACAAGGATGATGGTTTTGACCGGCGGGTGGCCTTCCTGGAACCTGCTGGACCCGGGCAGGGTCAAAATGGCAAACTCAAGCCAGGCAACACTCTGCCGGTGCCCGAGGCAACAGGCAAGGGCCAACGGAGGATGTCAGATCCTGAGTCTGTCAGCTCGGTCTTCTCTGATACACCCATTGTGGTGTGAGCAGGATAGGTTGGTGGGGAGGTTCTGCCCCAGGAGAGGTAGTGTACCCCTGAGGGATAGGAGGGGATGGAAGAGAGGGCTGGCTGCCCAAGGGAGTGGGTTCTTCCTGACCACCAGGGAATTGGTCATGGGCACAAGAGCAGGCAAGACCCCAGTGACGGTGTGGATGCTGTGAGTTTCACATACGGATATATTAATCCTCAGGCAGATGCCACACCCCTACCCAAAGCCTTGGCTATTCTCAGTGTGGTAGAGGAGGAGGGATGCGTCTGAGTTGGATGGGAATGAGGAAAGGGGTGAGGGGAAGAGCAGATTCCCTAAACTTTTTTGAGGTCATCCCTAGCTCCTTAAGAGAAAACCATTTGAAAAACAATTTTTTTCTGTCTCTGCCCACCCACACCTGTGAAGTTGTGTGTGTTGGGGGAGCCTCCACAGGAGCCATGCTGGGATGCTGCAGTATCTTCTCTGGTCAGGAAGTCACATCCAGAGCTAGAGGATGGGAAACGTTTGGAAAATGAGTCAGGGAAAGATGGAGGCCTGGCTCTATAGCACTGCCTAAAGCTGCCGTGAGACTTCTCACTAAAGCTGTCTTCTTTCCCCGGGAGTCCTGAGTAGGTGGATTTTTGCAGGAGTCTGGCCTCTTGCCTGTTAGTTATGGCAGCAATATAGGATGTGGTATCTGTGCCTTGTCCTGGGGCAAGTGGCACAGATAGATACAGAATGAATTAAAGGGTCCCTGTCATAGCGTAAAATTTGTAGATAGGATATAAATTCCGGGTAGGCTAATTTCCTGGCTGGGGGAAATCTTTGGTTAGTATTTGACTCCCAGTGTATATCTGTTGGGACCACAGGAGGGGATGCTGAAGGCGGAGCATTATGGATACCTGCCATCAATGTGGCACAAGGGCCAATCTTACTGAAAGGATGAGGAAAACCAGCCTCTTTGATGTAGCAGCCAGCCAGACCTACCTGATTTTCTGTGTGTGACCTCTCTTCAGTTAGCCTTCTAATCAACTTAGGTGGGGTTCTGAGCCCTCCATGTTATGCTGCTCTGCAGAGGGAGGAGTCCAGTAAAGTCTGGTCTTGCTCAGTTGGACTAGGTCTGGAGAGAGACAGGACCCAACATTTATCTTCTCCCTGCTGACAAGGCTGCCTCACTCCTGCTGCAAAGCCAAACTGTGGAATTTTGTTATCTGCAGGGTTGGAACCTAGTGGTCCCTGTCCCAGAATGGCGCTACAGTGTGGCTTAGAGTCCTGCCCTCCCCACCAGGCTCTAAGGCAGTCTTGCAACAGAGGCGTAAGGGGCACTAAGCTTTGAAAAGGAAGTTCCACCATACCATTCCTCTCTGTTGGAGGGCAGTGCAGTTGTGGCTGTCAGAGCAGAGAGACTTCAAGAAAAAAGAGAAGAAGAAACCCAGCCTTAGCTTCCATCCAGGCTTGCAAAATGTTTTGGGTACAGAGATGTTCCGCCCATCGCCCTTTGACCATCCTGCAGGCCCAAGAGCTTTGGAAGGGGGGGTGAGCAGGGCGGAGGTGAAAGTATTCCCCCGCGTTGGTCTTTTTTCAGTGTCTTTTCTTTCCCGTGTTTCCTGTAGTTGGAGATTGTCCAGGTCCTCCAGTTTCCTGACCTGCTTTTTAGGTTCCAAGAGGTGTTGTTTACCTATGGTGAGGGCTGCTTAGTACTAGGAGGGCCTGCCCGGCTGCCTCTAAGGACTGGGGAAGCGAAAATGAAGTAAACATTGTCTTCTGTCTGCTCCTGGGATCTCAAGGCTGCTGTCAATCCTTTATTAGTAACCTACTTTTGTCAAGAGAGAGGTGCAGCGATTCCCCCTAAGTAGTTGCATGCTCATTAGGTATGCATGCTCATAGGAATGCATGCACACCAGCACCTTGACCTCCACCAGGACAGTGAATCTGTGGCCCCCTCTAGAATGGCCTCCACCCACGCGCACAACTTCTCACACACAATTTCCTCACGCTGTAGGAGAGACAGTGACCGTGCCAGGCTCTTCCAATGCACAAGCTCTTGTACTTTCATTTCTGACTGCCCTGGACTTTTACCCATCTCTCCGTGGTTCTGAATAACTTCTCTGCAGAGGCTGGAGTTAGGGGGACCACACGTGGAAGTCTTTGGGAGGAGGGGTGGTGAGGTACCAGCTGCTTCGTCAGACTCCACACATTTATAAGACAGAAAGCTAGAACCAGAGCAGTGAAGGACCCCAAAGGATGCTGGTCGTGGCTAAGTAGCTCTGAGTTGTTCTTCCTGTGTTACCTGTCCTGATAGATAAGGGTTGGAGAGGGAAGCTGTTGGGCTGTATTCCAAAGACTAATGGGAACTTTGTCAACAGAGGTTCAAGAGCCAGACCTCTGTCCTCAGGCTCATTAGGAAATGAGAAAATCTCTTATGTGGCAGATTCCTCTCTTGACACCATCTAGAGCTGTAAACCTCTTTAAGATGGAGGTCAAATGAAGTTTGCCTTTGGGGGCATTCTAGCTGAGCTCCTGAGGACTAGGAGGGCCATTTTCTGTGTAAGTCCTACTCTGCAGCCCCAATCTCTCCACTATATCCACTAACTTGGGCCCTAGTTTGAGACACCTGGAGGACATGTCTGGATGCCACCAGGACATTTACCTGACTGGTCTCTTGTGGTCTCAGTTCTTATAACCCAATGGTAGCTCTCTTCTTATAGGCAGGGGGATGTATGTGTATCTGTATCCCACATGTATAATCCCATTAGACCTTGGAAAGAAAGCTGCCAGGTGTAGCTCTAAGGAAGGTTGACTTTCACCCCACCTGCACCCATAAACTGTGTTTCCCAGGAAGGAGAAGCAGGTGTCTCTGGAGACAGGATGTGACAGGGCTCTACAGTCTGTGTAATTATCTGTGATCTTTTTCTTTGCTGTATCTATGGGTCCTCTGAAAGAGGCCAGGAAAGGGTGACCCATCTGGGGAGAACAAAGCCAACTTCCCGGTTTTGTGTATGTTCTTGCCTCTGTAATTCCTTTATCCTGTCTAGGACTCCTCCTCCCACTGTGTACACCAGGCTGGCACACCTCAGAGCCAATGGGCTCTATAACTAGACAATGACCATTAAACCTGGCTTGAGTCTCTGCTCTGGCACAGTTTGTGGATGGTTTATTTATCTTAGCCTGTGGGTGGGTTCAGCATACTTCAAAAGGGTGTGATACATCTAAAGAGAGAATCTCTTTTAAGTGTTGTTATCTTCATCGTCTAGGAATTAAGTGTAAAATATCCAGGCAATAAGATTAGACAAGAGAATGGCAAACTTTTTCTTCTAAGGCAGAGAGTAAATATTTGGGGCTTTATAGGCTTCACCATTTATTAAACTTCAGCTGCACTGATACAGTAGACAGATGTCCACAGACAGTGTATAGATGAATGACTGTGGTTCCGTCCCAATGTAGTAATCTGCTAGAGTCAAATGCCCAAGGCAGAGTGTTTTATGAGGAAAAAAGGTTGACTGAGCTTACAGTTTTAGAGGGTGAAAGTCCAAGATCCGGTGGTCGTATCTGTTGTGCATGTCGTGAGAGCCTCATGGAGTATGTCACAATAATGGAAGGGCATGCAGAAGAGATCACGTGGTGAGACAGGAAGCGAGAGAGACTCAGGGGTCTGGCTTGCTCTTTGTCTAACAGCTTGCTCATATAAGAACTAACCAGGGTCCTATGAGAACTACATTAATGTCTTCTAAGGATGATGCCCCCAATGACCTAATTAGCTCTCACTAGACCCTATGTCTTAAGGGTTTCACCTTTCAGCTATACCACACTGGGGTCCAAGCTTCTAGGACACGAATCTTTTAGGTACTTATTCGAATCACTGCTGAAATATAGCAAACAATGAAATTTTACTTATGGACATTAAAATGTTAATGTCTTTTGAATCTGTTTCAACCAGTTAAAAATGTAAAAGCCACCAATCTTATAGACCACACAAAATCAGGCAGGGGTTGGTCTGCCCAAAAGGCCGTAGTTTCCCAGCCTCTGAAACAGAGTCTCAAAAGCAGCATCACAGTGCCTGAGCAAGCAAGAGTCTTGATATCCTGGGCTAGGGCTTGTGATGATTTCCTGGATCCCTAAGGAGGAGGGTTGCCTCCCTACGGGCTTCTCTTAAAAGGCTAGATCAAGCTTTCTAATTGGTACAATGGGAAAATGCTTGGGTTGGGAGGTTGCTTTTTTTTTTTTTTTTTAAATGGTGGGAAACAGCTCACTTTCATAAAATTTTGATTATTACCAGGATATTTTCATCTTGGGCTAAAAGCATATTCATCTAATGGGTATGTTAATACTCAATGACTGCTACATGTACAGTAAGTATTCTGCAGAATAGAAAAAAAATGGAATTTTTACTTTTTTCTTATAGACATACCCTACCAGAAAATGGACTAGACTATGCTCTGACTAGGCTCTTGGGGCTTCTGGAAGGGACTGTCCTGGTAGATCGAAAGAGGGTGAGGACTAGGCCTATACCACCCTACTTATTGCCAGATCTCAGCTGACCTTAGAAGCTAAGTAGGGTCAGTCCAGGTTTGTACTTGGATGGGAGACTGGAGAGGGAAGACATTTATAATTACCCTGACCTCTGAGTCACTGCAGCCCTCTCCTGTCTGCGAAGTTATCTGTCTCATCTTGGGAGGAACAGTGGAACCACTCCACCTCCAGTCACATCAAGTCAGTAAGGGACATACAGATGTTGAGGTCAGAGCTCTCCCATAGTCCACATCTGCGTATTTTCTCGTCTTTACAAAGTTGCTTTTGCTATGCTGTCTCCTGGTTCAGAGGGCGGTGCTGGTAGAGAACAGGCTGGGAAGACTTCTTGGAGTTCTCCCCTTTATGTTTTCTGAGCTCTCTCACCTTCCAAACCCGTATCTCTTCTGCTTTTTCTGCTCATCCCACTCCTAAGCCACAAGCTCCCTGGATCGTGGTCAGGATATGCAGTTTGTCTGTCAGGTCTCGCAAGACTTTCCCCCATCCCCCTCAGGCAGCACTTCAGGGGGAACAGAGAAGGCTGATGTGACAGATTGAGAGTCCAGTGCATGGGCTAGCCTAGTCTTTCTTCACCTGATCTCCCAGCTCCTCCCCTTTCTGTATTTGTACCACTTATCTTGTCTCCTAGGCAACCAATGGTGATGCTGCACTTTCCCCACCCACATGGCAAAAAAAGCTCGGGCCCTGCAGTAAGGACAGTTGGCTTTTTTGGTCAGGCCACGGGGAGTCTATGCTGGCTGTTTCCTCTCCCAGGGCTTTGAAAGGGAAGGCTAAGCTGCCAGTCAGGCACTTTCATCAGGCTCAGACACTGACCGGGAGAAGGTATCAAATGGCCAGGATCCTTAGAAGTACCCCGAGGCCTTCCCTTCCGGTGTGTGCCAGCCTGGTTACTGTCCCTGGAGCCAGGCAGTGCTTTGCACTTCTCTCCTCTGACCTCCCACTGCTCCCTCGGTTTGGTCTAAGTGTCACTGCTAGGACACACTGGGAGATAACTGAGAACCTATCTCAAAGATAGGGTTCTGGGAGCCGCTCAGGTCACTACTGACCCAAAACCAACCCCTCAGATTCCATAGACTAGCCTGACAGGGTTTCTTCACCGGCTTCAAAGGCAGGCTAAAAACCTCTTTGGGAACTTCTGACAATGGCTGGCTGATTAATAACGGACTGCTGTTCTCTGACATCTGTGACTAGCCACGCTTTCTGGGATAAGGTAGTCCCAGCAGAGGTAATCTGTTTGGGTTAAGCCCCGCCCAGTGCTGACCATCTCCTTCCAACCCCTGTCCAAGGCGGTTCTGGGGCACTGCTCTCCCATCCTCAGCTTCTGGCGAGAGTGGCTAAGGCTAAAGTAGTGTTTCATTCCTGGATCCCAGGACAGAGACAACAGTTCAGATAAAAAAAGACAGATGTTCAAGTCTGAGTGCTGCTGTTGGTTCTGCTTGCCTTCTGCTCTGGCCAAATGCTCCCTGCCCTCAGACAATGGAATGGAAAGTATCCTTCCTCTTAACTGAAAGTTTACATAGAACTGCTTGAGAGAGAGAGAGAGAGCGAGAGAGAGAGAGAGAGAGAGAGAGAGCGAGAGAGAGAGAGAGAGAGAGAGAGAGAGAGAGAGAGAGAGAGAGAGAGAGAGAGTACATGAGTGCTTGTGTGGTAATTCCAGCAAAGCATTTTCAGGAGGAGAGGACACTATGGTCTTAACTCCAAGAGCCTAAAACAGGAAAACTGTGGACCTCTGGAAGTCAAAAGACATGTACTTCACAGAGTCAGGGTGGTGCTGCAGTGATCACTCCTTTTTTTTTTTTTTTCTCGAGACAAGATTTCTCTGTGTAGCCTTGGCTGTCCTGGATCTCGCTCTGTAGACCAGGCTGGCCTCAAACTCAGAGAGATCTGCCTGCCTCTGCCTCCCGAGTGCTGGGATCAAAAGCGTGCACCACCACGTCCAGCTGCAGTGATCACTACTATTGATCCTTTCTCTGTGTTGTACTCTTCTTTTAGAAGGGCAGAGTTAGGAAAGAGAGATGTAGATAAATTATGACCAAAGCTCCCGGCTGAGACCTGACCCTTCCGATTAGACCTGGAGGAAGCTGCATTGACGCAGATCTGTGATCAGCCCTGTGGCTTGACCACACTGGGTAAGCAGTATGTAAGACAAACCTCAGTAACCATGATCTTGGTGGCCTCTCTTAAAGGAAGAGATAGATGACCTTGCATCCAAAAGTAAGAAATCCAAAAGTAAGTCTCCCTCTGAGACTTGGGTCCCCCTGAGCTCATCTCCTACAGTTTATTGCCTCCTTAAGAAGCATAAAGCCCAGAGCCAGGCTGAGGGAGAGGAAAGGACAGAACATCCCATCTGCTTTCCATTTGTTTAATGCTTTGAACCTTGTTCTCTTGTCTAGCCCTCACAACATCCCTGTGAGGTAGGATGAGAAGCAAATGGTTTGCCTATGTCACCCAATGTTAGGAGCTGAGACACTCCTACATCAGATTTCCCGGTGTCCATGCTGACACACCTTTCAGTTCATGACACACAGGTTCTTTGTGCCAGTCACAGACAAGGGTATTGGGGGGGGGTACTAACCCAGAAACTTTCTCGCTCTCTAAGCTTGCTTAAGGGCATTCAGGAAGAACGCCCCGCAGAGGCCAAGGCAAGCACACAGGAGTACTAGAGGTTTGGGGTCATCAGCTACCACAGCCATGGTGGTCTCAGTTGAGCATACTGTATTCTCTGTGTACCTTGGCCTTCCTGCTTCCTCTCAGAGAAAATCCTCAGGCATGGTCAGGCAGCAAGAATCCCGACTCCCTCTCTCACAGTGTCTTCCCATGCTGTTACACGCCAAAGCCCAGAAAGAGGGGGAAGGTGAAGGCTGGCTGACTCAGCCTGCAAGTGCTTAGAGATCTGGAGTGAAAGGCCCCAGCACCATTCAACTAATGATTATTATTAACTCTGAACAGGCCTTGGCACAGCAGCCAGCTGGCTCAGGGGGGATGCCTGGATCTCCCACAGTGAGGTTTGAAAAACAAGACCCACGGCAGCCATGCATGGGGGTGGAAAGGTGGGGACAATGAGAGACGGGGCAGGCCAGTGTCATGGAGGAAGGGTGGCCTGCCTTGGGAGGGGGAGAGCATGCACAGGCTGGCAAGTGATAGCAGCCTATCTTGGATGGGGATGACAGCCAGAGAAGGAAGCGAGAGTTCTCAGTGCCGAGCTCCTGTCATTCATTCGCTGCCACCCCCAGCCCCAATGGGACTCCAAGAAAAGGGAGGGTATGGGAACAAAAGGGCCCCTGAGAGGACTCCAAACCTGAACAGTATGCCCATTACCATTTGGATCTGATACAAAACTATCTCTCTAATGCCCTCAAGGTTGAGTCTGAGTATAATCAAGCTTGGAACACAATCAAATATGGAATCAGGACTTAGCACGATATGGAAATTTGTGCAAATGATGGGCGACTTTTAAATCTTGAGCATCCTGAGTGTCATCCCCCGCCCCACTTTAAAAAGCAAAACAGGCTGACTACTAGCAGCTTCCCCTAGTCAAGGAACACTGGCAAAGGACAGCCATGTGTGTCCCCCCCTCCGGTCCCTGCCTCGCTGCTGAGAAGCCCAGGTAGTATCCAGACACTGGAAGATACAAAGAGGAAGGGGCAGGCAGTGTGGGGAAGAGGGAGCACACAGCCAGGAGGCATATGCAGCCGGCAGCCACAGATCCCAGCTGGAGGAAGAGTACCCTGGCACCGAGGTCTAATGGTTGTCCAGCTGCTGCCCCAGGATGTGAGGGCAGGTGGTGATGGAGAAATGGCAAGACAGGAGGGGAGAGAAGTCCCCCCCCCCAAATCTAGCCTGCCAGCCATCCTGGTGACCTGCTCCCTACACTGTGGTCAGATCCCTAAGCAGGAGACCACTGCTACCTGTGTCCTCTCTGCTCTGCACCAATGCCCTCCAGGCCCACTGGTCAGAGGAAGCGACAGCTGGGTCCCTTCTTCCTGCAGAATATAAATGACTCCCCTTCCTCCCAGGGCTGGGAATAGACATCAGATGGCACAGCCCACGCAAACTGCCGGCTGTCAGCACGCCTGCCCGCCCGCCCACCAGCCCCCGCACCACCTGGGAGGAGGCAACACCTCAAGCAGGCTCAGGCTTTCCGGCATTGCCTCTGTGCTCTGAGAACAAGCTGCTGAACTTTACCTGGCCCACCCTAGGGAGGCCCCAGCAATGGCCTCGATGAGGGGAGGAGATGGAGCCCTACATCAAAGTGACCCTAGTGAGAAGCTCTTTCATGTGGCCCAGTAACCATTCCTTCCAAGCTCACAGCACATTGGATAGCTTGAGAGGGAGACAGGGTATTGAAAAAGACAAGAATGGTTCCCCTCGGCACTGCAGGAGTCTCTGTTCGGTAAGCTGTATTTAGAGAGCTTATGAGAGATGCTGTCTCCCTGAGGAAAAGCATCGTGAGGTCCACTGAGAGGACACTTCTACCCGACAGTCCCCATTCTTGAACTATTGAATCCCACCCACCTTGTTCCTGAGCCACTTGGAGAAGAGGCCTTAAATCTTTAGAGAATCAGAGACATGTGACAGACACTTTTCCTTTGTCTCTGGACCTGGAGCTCCAGCCCCTATACTGCAGGCCTCCCAGAGTCTCTGATGGGCTCTGTCTCCCAGGTGGAAAACTGCATGGTACCTTTCCTGGCTCAGCAGTATCCAGTCCTTATTAGGCTCTACAGAGGGCCCATCTCCTGGACAGACCCACACCATAGCTAACTAGTTTGACATCCAGCCCTCACCAACAAGGATGCTCTGGGGAACTCAGCTGGACCAAGGAGGTATCTTGGCAGGGAAGAGAGCCCAGTCGGTACTGAAATCATCCCATTCTCAAGCCAAGGGGATGGCAGGAGACAACAACTAAGGAGAACTTAAATGACAAGGAGAGACGGGCAACCAGGGAGACACGATGCTCCTTGGATCAAGAGGGCCCCACTCCCTGGTTTTTATTTTGTTCTAAAAGCTTCAGAATAGTTCCCTGGAGCAATGTGCTAAGTAAGTACTCTAAGCCCTAAGAGCAAAGTGTAAGATGCCCAGAGCTACTCTGCCCTGAGAATGATGTCAAGAGCACACCCAGATTCTACAGTCTAGACCCAGAGGTAGCCTGAAGGAAGTCCTTAGCTGAGCTAAGGACTCCAAGAGTCCAGGGCTTGGCTAAGGCCAATGCCCTCCTGTTCCTCCAAAGAACTTCAAAGTGACTTTAGTGCCTTCACTATCTTATTGTCCAGGGGACCCTCACCTTGGCCCCTTCTTTCCACAGTTCATGGCCCTTGTTCCTTGGCTCAGGAGTCAAGTCAGCACAGATTTCTGAAGGGTACAAGGAAGAGTGGATGAAAGAATTACATCCTGAGCTGTCCGCATGGTCCAGAGCTAAGAGGGTATTCAGTGACAACCATCTGCCAGACACTGAATGTTAAAGGTAAGGGACTTTCAGATGGGGAAACTGAGGTCCTGAGATATGAAACGTGTCTAAGGTTGACTGTACAACACAGCCAAAGAGACCACAGTACTGCTTTTCCAAAAGGGACCCCAATGTCTGTGACTGTCATTCATAACCAACAGGAATCCAACTCTTCATCAGGCACATAGGTAATCACCACCATCACCATCACCATCACCACCACCACCTAATGCTTCTGTATCCCATCAAAAGTGAGGCTTTAGGTTCTCCAGAACCTTCTACTTGCACCCAGTAGTACATTTCCCCATTGGAGCCCACCAGATCATCCCTCAGCAGTAGCAGCTAGGGTTTCTGCACCCTGTGGCTTAGCCATGAAGTGCAAAAATTCGTCTGCTTCTGAAGTGGGTCCCGTGAAGATCAAGGAACTGCTGAAGTCCAAGGAGAGAATCTCACCTAGGTTCAGAGTTCTGAGGCATTCACATTTCCACTTTCTTCCTTGGCAAGTAGGCGCTGGAGATCTGGTGCATGATCACCAGGGCTGGGTACACTGGTAGTGCCAGGCACAGGTACCAGGCTGCACCTTTAATCTGGGCCTGGAACCACACTGAGTACATGCCCAAGAGCACCGTTACTGTAGCCATCAAGTAGACAACCAGGCCACATGTCAGATGGTAGAGCTTGAGGCGAGCCACCCTTGAGACCCGGGCTGCCCGGGGACAGAGGAGGCCAAGCCCACACAGTGCTTGTCCCCCAGTGGCCAACAGTGTCAGAGCTCCTGCCCAGCTATGCCAGGATGCCAGATGGGACAGCTCACTGCGGATCTTGCTGGAGATAATGAAGCCCAAGCCCAGGAGAGCACAGAGGATGGTCATGGTCTGCCCTGCCCAGTGGAGTCGGATCCGGGTCTTTCGAGAGCAGAAGAAGAACAGGGAGTGCTCAGGCGAGAAGAGCAGGATGGCTTCAGCCATGCAGAGACAGAACTGTAAACACAGGAGAAGGCCAGTGAGCCCCTAGTCTGCATGGAGCCTGGGGAAAAGGAGGTGTTAGCATACATCCAGAAAACGTGGGGAAGCTTAACAGACTTCCAGCCTCACATACGCCCTTTCTGGACCACAGAACAGCAAACATTGAACTTTCACCTCAATTCTGAGGACAAGGCCTTGAAAACATCCCTCTCACGTCTTCCTTTCTGCCCCTAGAGGAGAAATACCCCCCTCCCCAACCTCAACCCCCCTGACAGTTTACTCCATTTCCCCCACTCATATAGGTTTCAGGAAAAGATGAAGCTCTCTTTCCCCCATCTTTCTGACAGTTTACTACATTTCCCCCACTCATATAGGTTTCAGGAAAAGATGAAGCTCTCTTTCCCCCATCTTTCTGATCCTTAGAAAGGCCGGAAAAATGCTGGGTGGGGGTGACGCACGCCTTTAATCCCAGCACTGGGGAGGCAGAGCCAGGGGATCTCTCTGAGTTCGAGGCCAGCCTGTTCTACAGAGTGAGAGCCGGGAAAGGCACCAAAACTACACAGAGAAACCCTGTCTCGAAAAACCCGGGGGGAAAAAAAAAGCCGAAAAACTGAATGCTTCCCCAAGGGGTAAGCTAAGTATATCCAAACTCACCGCCAAGGCCATGAACACAGGGTGCCAGGAGAAAAGACCTAAGTAAGAATCAAAGAGAATAGGCTGACGGCTAGGCATCACTGATAATTGCAAAGACCTGGCCATAAGGGAAAGGTCAGCATACCGTCTCAAGCCTAAGCAAGAATCGGGAGCTTATCTCAAAGGAGTAGCGGCTAAGGGGCCCTTACACCACCTTGGCCTGGGTTCTGCATATGCTGCCAGCCCAGTTCTAGAGTAGACCTTAGTCTGCCCAGGACCCTCCTCACGCTGTTCCATAAGGGGCCTCATTCTAAGGAAGCGTCAGTTCTGTCTTTTGAAGTCCCACCCTCCCAGGACTTCCGGGGCCCCGCCCACTAGGCCTTTACAACCACTCTACGACCCGCCCCTCCTCCGCCGAGGGTCTAGGTTTCTCGTTTCCCAGCGCGCCCAAAGCGGGCCCCCACCAGCACCTAGGCTCCGCCCCTTCCACGGCCCCACCCCTCCTCGCACACTCACTGGTTCCTGGCCGGGACAGCACAATCAGAAAGATGGTGAAGCCCAAAGCTATCAGGTGCGCCAAGATCCCACTGCCTCTCCGCAGCCAGCGGGTCAGTCTCGGCTCCCTCGCTGGAGCCGGAACCAGACCTACCTCCTCGGGCTGCATGGCAATGCCAAGCCGGCGGGTACAGTCCAGCAACCAGAGGCTTCTTCCGGGTTTGCGACCGCGGAGGCGGTGGCAGCGGCGGCGGCGGCGGCTACAGGAGAGGCTCCTCCCCGGGGAGGCTGCGGGGCCGTGTGGCGGAGGCGCCCACAGCGCCCTCTGCAGGCTGGGGGGGAAGCGCCTCGGCCCCGAAGGGCGGCTCCCGGAAACCTCCATTGACATAACCAGGCTCCCAACCCACCTTCATTTCTACCTTTGTATCCACAAGGGTATATAGCTCAAGCAGCCTGTGAAAATTACATCCGTAGCAACTGGTATCAGCGAAACCCCAAATCACACACTTGGTTCGCTGACCCAAGAACGTGACCCAGTGCTTTGAACAGTTTTCCAGAAGTACTGGATTCCCCTGGCTGCTCACTCTCCAGACATTTCTGGCTTGTTCGAGACAAGATTCCTCCCTGCCTACATATAAAAGAAAAGACAAAGCCAAAACATAGTGACCCACACCTGGTGAATTCAAGGATGAGAACCAAAAGATGTAATCTCATCCCTATTTACAGGTGTAGTTGTCTCCCATAAGATACTCCAAAGATTTAGGGCACTTCCAGTCGGCCGCCTCCACAACAGCTGCACAGCCTCGAAAAGCAAGGTGATCCAGAGGAACCAGGGCCTCCCACAACCCCAAGTTCTGCAACACTATTACCTCCAACAAGATGGTCCAGCCTAGCTGAGAGAAGCTTTAACCCATTCTTCTGGGAAACTCACGGAAGAGGCCAAAACAGGCTGTCCAGGGGCTGGGGAGATGGCTCAGCGGTTAAGAACACGTACTCCTGTTGCACAGGACCTGAACATCCACATCAGGGGGTTCACAGCTTACTGTAACTAGCTCCAGGGGGATCCCACACTTCTGGCCTCTGCAGGCATCCCATGCACAGACCCACACACACACACATATGAGGGTGGGGGGGAGCTGGCCAGGATCCCTAGATCAGTGATCACCAAGCTCAACCTCTATATGGTTGAGAAACTAAGGCTGCTTTTAGAAGTGGGAAGGGCAAGAACAGCCAGAGAGACTGTTTGAGAGAAATAATTTGTAGAGGGATGGAAGCCCAGAGTTGCTAGAAAACCAGAAAAGGGCCAGAAGCTAACTCCCACAAACCCTCAGGACAAAAACCCCAGGGTAGAGTCAAAGTGTGACTCCCCCCACCCTTCTCATTTCCTGTCCCAGTGGAACAAGAGTTGTCTCTCTTAAGACTCTGGGGTGCCTTGCTCATTCAGAGATGCCTTATCATCCTCTCTGGAAGAGGATTCCCTGCGACACCAGCTCAGGTTTTGTGCACTGTGTGCGTGTGCTTGAGTGTGTACTGCTTATCGTCAGCCTCTTGGGATGGGGCTGGGGAGAGGAAGGACACTCATTCGGCTACATCATTTTTCATCCTTTTCTATGTTTCTGTTTTTATATTTTCTTAGCAGCAACAGAACAGGGAGACAGTCTTGAGGTATTTTAAAGAGTTTTTTTTTTTTTTCTTAAAAAAAATAATATAAAGTTATAAAAAGCGGCAGCAGCCTGGGGCCCGGATCTGGAGGGGAGGAGGTGCTGGCGGCTCCGTTGCAGTGGGCAGGCACTTTCTCGTTAATGGGCTTTTGACTGCAGGAAGACAAGAGGTAAGAGACAGGGTGAGGGTCGGGGCCTACCTGTCCTCCTTCCTAGTGAACGTCTGGGCTAACCCTTGAATTCCCTCAGCTGGCCTGATAAATACAACTGAGCGAGGGGAAAATGAATGCCAGCCTAACAGAGGCCGACTTGGGTCGTGAAGCTGGAGAATACACATGCACACACCTGTCCACACACAGGCAGACCCTTCACCAACTGTCAGATTTCCCTTCTAGGTGCCAGGACAGTGGGCATGCACCTACTCCATGCCTAAATCAGGAGCCCGTTACCCTGCCTCACCTCCCAGAAGTCCCTCCTTACAGAGATCACAGGGATAGGTCAAAGCAGGCTTCAAGAGAAAAGATACATAAACCTAACTGCAAGCTTTCCGAGAAACCTGGAGACCCTGCTGGAATCTGAAATGACTCTGTGGACTCTGAGTACTTGCTTTCTGTCCTAGTGCCAGAAGAACCGGAGGACCAGAGCAGCCCACCCACCCAGCTACTCAGCATGATGGGACCTAACTCCCTTTCCCTTAAGGAAAAGTAACTCCAAGTCCGAGCGGGAGGGTCGCGGACAGTCCAAAAAGAAGTGGTCCTTAGCTTAAAGCCCAAGTAAAGGTAGGATGGGACAGCATGTCCTAAGCCCGCAGGAGAAGACTGGGCACAGGAAAGGTCCCTCAGGAAAAAGCTCCAGTCACCTTGGACAGAGCTGACCAACCTCTCCCTACAGTAGACGGCCCAGTTCTCTCAACTTGCCCTTCATTCTCTTTTCTGGAGTCATTTCCTCAGCACCCTCTCCACGTCACATACCTACTGTGTTCCCCAGCCTCAGCCCTCCTGACCCCTCTCTGCCCATGTTCTTCAGGAAGCTGGACTGGTACCTTCAGTGTAGAGCACTTCTCCTCAAAGGCCAGGGCTGGACCTGGCTTCTTGCGACGCACAGGGCAGGTCCCATCAGGAGGGACACCGGCCTGACAGTGCTTGGCCTTGACTGGCCGGCAGTAAGTGGCCAGGTTTTTCCGCTTCTTGGCTACCTCCTCCTCAGAGAGGCAGTTGGTTGGCAGGACCTTGGCTGGGTGTCCAGCCGCTCCCCGGTTCTCTAGCTGAGAAGCCTTGACTGGTATGGGGGATGAGTGAGGGGAACCCCGACAGTCCAGGGGACCTGCTCTTTTCACTCTTGGCCCCACTGTTCCATTTAGCCCCATGCTCAGGGTGGTTTTAGTCTTGGCTGAGAGACCCCGACAGCCAGAGGGTTTGCCTTTTCCAGGAGGCTCCAGGATGCAGGTCCGTTTGAAAGTGGTAGGGCCAGGGGATAACTTCCGCTTTCGAGAAGGGGCCTCCATCTCTACCCCTTCCTTGCCTTTGGAGGACTTGCTGGCCTTGGAAGGTGGCAGCTTGCTGAAGGACGGAGATGGAGTGTTGGCAGGCAGTGGTGAGGTAATAGCCTGGCTACCGCCCATGCACTCTGCCTGGCTGCAGGCAGCTGCGACGCTGGGGGAGCCTGCAGGGTAGCTAGGGACAAGGCTGTCCTTGATGGGGGGTATGGAGGCTGGGCAGGCAGGGCGAAGGGGTGGGCCTGGAAGTCGGGGGCAGCTGCCCATAGAGGATGGACTCAGGGGATCAGATAAGGAGGGACTGACAAGATGGGACGGAGGTTCAGCCGCTGGTGGGATCTTCCTGCAGCAAAGAGAGAGCTTCACTGTGATACTGAGCAAACTCCAGGGCCTCCCTAATATATACCAGTCTCTGCACCTTGAGATGGCCAGCAAAGCCCCAAAGCTGCTGCCCCCTGCTGGGAAACACTGGAACTAAGAGCCCAGGAAGGCACAGGAGAAGGAATGACCTATCAGTACAAGGCATATGAAATAGCATGTAGACCCATTAACAGCCTGATTTCTGGTCTCAGTTTGGGCATTCCCCCATCCTACATTACCTAAAAGGTACTGGAAGTGATGGGTAAGAGTCTGGACTCACCCCTACCACCCACCCATGCCCTCCTCCAGGCTACCAAGTCCCACCCCTTCATACCACACTCAATTTGGGTTCTTAGCAATCAGCCAAAGCACGCCAGACTGGGGCTTCTGAAGCCCAAGTATACTCAAGCCTGAGAAAGGAAGTTCCGAGTCCACAAAACTCACTTCCACATGTGTGAACTGAGGTGCCGTTCTAGCATGGAGCTGAGTGCTGAGCAAAACCGGTCCAGCCGGCGGCTAAACACATAGCATCCTGGGCTCACCAGCCGGCTTCCAAATGTGCAAAACTAGAGGCAGAGAAAAGAGCATGGTTGATAGGGCCTGAGATATAGGAAGGCATCTGCCTACAAGACTTAGCCACCCTCCGTCCCAGCTCCCTGTCCTGTGTCCTTACCGCCTGTGGCCTAGGTGGCCGGGTTGCATAATGGCAGTCAGGGGGAAGGTGGAGGTCATCAGATGTCCCCTCCTCCTCACTCTCCTCACTGGAGGCCTGGGCCCCACCCCGGGGCAGAGGGAAGGGAAATAGGCCTGGATCCCCATCACCACCACAGGGACCTTCATCATCCACCTCACTCTCAGAGGAGGCCTGGGACCTGGAAGGGCCAAAGGGATATGAGGATGATGTGAATGATGTCGGGTCAGAGTCGGGGTGTCCACGCTCAAATAGCCAGGGTAGACACACCCTTCTGGGTACTCGGAGGAAGAGGAAGGGTTCGGGAAAGTACAATATAACTCTCTAAGTAAGAGACAGAACCAAGGGCTTCCAAGGGCTTCTCTCCCCAGCGTCTTCCTAGGCCTTGCCTCTTCAGGAAGAAAACTGCTTCAGACTCGCTTCCTCCAGAAAGTCTTCCCAGCTTAACTACACCCAGCACTGCTCAGCCTAGTCAGCTCCCTCAACCCTCTTCTCCACCATCACTCCTGTGAGCTTGTCTGGGAGCTGAGCCTGTGTTTCATGTCTACCCCTCGTACTACAGGTGGAGCTGCATGTAAGTCTCCTTCAGTAAGGCAGGCTCCCCCCAGAGTCCAGTACAGCCTCCGCACACAAAGGGGCCTGTGGATGACTACACAGTAGTACTGCTTTACCCAGGACCCTGACCCGTTCAGCTCCCCGTTGACAAGTGCTAACTCAAGGGAGTAGCTGAAAAGAACGTTCCTCTCCCAGGTATTGTATCTGGCACACCTCACAGAGGCTGGAGTCCTGCAGCATGCTTGGGCAAGAATAGGGCAGTCACCTGCCTCACACCACTGGTAGGTTCTAGGTATCTTCCCATGCTTAAGGGAAGTGAGCACATCTTCAGGATATTCCCTGGGCCCGTCTCCAGGGCTCCCTGGTATCCCCAAGTTAGATGGGGTTAGGATTCTGTACATACCTGGGAAGCGCACAGTATGGGTAGGCCTGCTTAGAACGAGCAGAGGTGTTGTTGGGGGCAGCTACTGCGGCCACACCCTGCACAGCAGAGGGAGGCTCCTGGGAGGGGCGCTCAAGAGCTGGTTCTTTTCGTCCTGGGCTCTTCTCCTTGGGAGACTCTCCCTTGCGAGAGCTGGCTTTCAGTTCAGCCACTAGCACATCAAAGTCCTTGGTCCTGCCTGGGACCTCTCTGCGTTGGTGCACTGAGTGGATCTAGAACACAGCCGGGGAGAGGATGGGGGAAGTGTAATTTGAGCAGGACTGAGGGGTATACGGCTTCTCTGACTGTGTGTGTGTGTGTGTGTGTGTGTGTGTGTGTGTGTGTGTGTGTGTGTTGGGTGGGGGTGTTTGTGTGTCTATTTTATTCTCTGATGGGGCTAAAACTCTCCGCTGGGTAAGGAGATCCAAAGGTACTCCCTGTCTACTGCTCATACCTTGCGTCCACCACGGATAGCTTCTTCTCCCCTTCCCTGGTGTACGCCTAGCCCCATGCCTTGAACTGAGTTTCCAATAACCTCTGATTCTCCTTTCCAAGGTCCCGTGTCTATGCTGACCCCATCACCGTGCAGAGGGATGGGGTTACCTTGCAGGTCAATAGACGTGTACAGATCTTCTTGGTCTCTGGATTTATGACCCCACACTGCCTGTTGAGGTCAAACTCTTTACCTGTGGGGAAAGAGGTTCCAATGAATTCAAGTCCTTTTTTTTGTTGTTGTTGTGGTCCAAGGAAGAATCTGACCTCTTCCTGCCAAGAAGCAGGACTAAGGCAGAAGAGCCTCACCCTCAGGTCTTGCTACCTGCTAGGCATGAACTCCCCCAGCCCCATTCCTGGCCCAGGTACTCTTGGAAGACTAGCAGCCCAAAGCAGGGCAGCCCATACCAAGAAGCAAATGCAGCCACAGGCATCTGAGATGCCAGGAAAACCAGCTGTGGAATGTGAGGAAGGAGATCGTGGTCAACAGCCCAAGGTGAGAATGAGTGACTTTGCTGGCCTGGGCACAGGGTCTCTCAGACTAGCTCAGAGACCTAGACCAGCAAAGCTTCCTGGAACAAGCAGGACAGGAGGTAATGGGGCTTCTGTACCCTGGAAGCTGTAATGGCCAGACCTGGCCAGGTCCACTCCTTCCTGACCTCAAACCTTTCTGGCCCCCAAACAAAGAAGCCCAGTGAAGTCTCCACTCTGCCTTTCTGAGCCCATGTCTATAACTACTCACGAGCCATCTTTCGGTGGGTTTTAGGAGGCAGCCTGGCTCCACTGGGCTCCTTCTCCGGGGGGCTGCCTTCGGCCCGGTGACTGGAGCCCTCACCAGGGATTAACTCGATGTTCTCTCTGCCAGGAGGTTC